AAGAATGATAGTATTTTATGAGAAAAAAATTGAAATGGAACAACAAGGACAAAAAAATATTAAAAAGAACATCGCTTGACTATAAATTCAGTCCAAGCTGTTCCAGGTATTTCCAAACATTTCATGTTTTAATTGGCTTCCCAGGGCTACAAGTCACATCCACTTAATCTTGTATTGATTTTCTAAGATGCTTCCTGTTACCATGACTACCCCAATCAATTAACTTCTTATAAGGAGCAAGATAATTTTCTTTCTTGTGTCTTTCCAATGAGGACTGAATAATTTATTTCCACAAAAATATCTGATGTTACCTCTTATCTATCAAGGAACTACATTATGTTGGTAAAAATGTTGGAGGCCTTCCGCTTAAAAAAAAACGTTTACAGATTCCGTACAGAGAAAGCATACAGAATTGCCCTGGACCATATATCACGAGTGGCTTATCAATCTGTGCTTGTGTTGATAAAAGTTCTCTTTGGCTATGGAAAATTGCCTTTCACGTGGCCTTTATCATATTGAACTGAGAGGCTGGCAATCATTCAAGGAGGATGTTCATGGGGAAGAAGAAAATGGTTCTGCCACTGGCTAGCCATTTGTGACTTCTTAAACACAGCTCTGGAAACAATAGAAACAAGATCCAGGAAAGATATTGGTCTTTTGAGTCAGACACTTGGACTCAAGCCCTTAGGTCGTTTGAGAAAATTTGGGTAAGTCTCTTAAACTCCCTGAAGTTTCATTTCCCATCCTACAAAATGAGATCAATCTAGTTAGCTCCATGGTGGTATAGGGCTCTCTAAATCTAACGTCTCTATCCTTCTATCCAAGTCCTTTCTTCTACTCAAAATATCTTTCCAAAGCAAAGGAGTGACCAGGCCCACTTGCCTGTCCCAACCCTCCCAATTTGTGTGGAGAATACAGGCCAAACCACATAGGATGCCATCCTCCATCCCAGCCAGCCTTTCTTGGCTCATCTCTGGTCATTTGCCTCAATTCACTTCTCAGACTAGCCACCTCAAAACAGATTTATCATATAGCTTCAACGTCTTACAGCTTTATGTTTGTTCAAAGCACTTCCCCAAGGTTTTCCTGCCCCAAACGTTCTTCCTATCCTTGTCCATTTAGCAAATTCTTGCTCATCCTTCCAGGCCACGGATATCTCCACAACTGCCACCTTTCCAGCTGTGCCTAGAGTTTCTCCCCGCAAAAAACAAAAGATTAATTTTCACCAGGTGAAACAATCTCATTTTTCATTTGGCTTCCAACATGAAAAAATATTTTACCCACCACCTAACATAAAAACATCTAGATGCTACTTAACCACACAGCGAAGTGATTTCTTTTAAAAAATGCAATCTGTGTATTGATAACCTAAGCATTAAAGCAAAAGATGGTGTTATTCAGATTCCTAATCAGCTTTAAATCTAAATAGTTTAATTAGTCACTGAATTGTGAGAAAACCAGCACATATGTAGAAAAATATGCCACCTGACAAATGAGCTTATCCACATCAATTACTTTGAGCATTGCTATCACCTGTTAGGTACAAGATGTATCATTTTGAATGTAATACTTTAAAATTGGTATAAATGAACAGACTGAGATTCAAACAAAATAATGTAATTTGCCCAAGTGTTTAGTATGTAACAGGCTTGTCATCCAAATCCAGGCCTATCTGCCTCTAAAGCCCATTCTACTTTCACCTTTCCAGCCTGCACTTTGATCACAGGTAGGTCTTAAAAGCAATGGTTTTAGGATGTTATCAGATGCTACCTCTAGCCAAGTCATTCAAAATACTCATGCCTGAGAAAAAAGAGGTTGGTGTGTATATGTAGACAGGTTATACAACCACCTAAAGAAGAAAAAAGATGGAGCCTCTTGAAAGCACAGTTACATTATCTTATTAATAATATATATCATTAAAGTGAGTTTTCTTCCTGGCACTAGACCCATTGGTGGCCTTTCTTATTTTGAGTTCAATTCCTTAGAATATTTTTTATGTTTGTCAAAATAAAAGTATCATACTATAGCATGATATAAATTATCACTGAGTTATTAGGAATATCCTCATCTCTTAATTTTCCTGACTGGCTTCATTGGAAGGGGTTTACTATTGTGGTAGTACTGGTAGTCTTGGTGATGGCACAACCTAATGTTTCGTATATATCTTACTTCAAACATTTCTTGGTGTTACATTAATCTCAAAAAAAGTTTATTGATGCTTCACAAGAAACATATCAACATGCAACAATGCTTCTCACAGAGCATATGAGAAGTAAAACAGAGTAGTGATTAGAAAAGTCATAAAATGTTACCCCAGTAGCAGACAAACTAGGAAATCATGCACGTCTCAATAAATGGAACATTGTTAGCACATTTTCTATTGTTATTTGGAATTACTATTATTTTTTCATCTAGATCTAGACGTAGATACAGACACAAGATAGACACATTGATTCAGAGCATTTAAAAAATCAGTTCAAACTGGAGAAAAACTGGATTTAAAAGGTTAGTAACTGGGCAGCCCAGGTAGCTCAGTGGTTTAGCACTGCCTTCAGCCCAAGGTGTGATCCTGGAGACCCGGGATCAAGTCCCATGTTGGACTCCCTGCATGGAGCCTGTTTCTCCCTCTGCCTGTGTCTCTGCCTCTCCCTCTCTGTCTCTCATGAATAAATAAAATCTTTAAAAAATAAAAAAAATAAAAGGTTAGTAACAGGGTGGCTCAGTTGGTTAAGTGTCTGCCTTTGGCTCAGGTCCATGATGTTAGGGTCCTGGGATGGAGCATGGAGTCGACCTCTCCCTCTCCCTCTGCCCCACCCCCGTTCATGCTCTGTCAAGTCTTTCTATCAAATAAATAAATTAAATATTTGAAAAATAAAATAAAGGTTAGTAACATGTCAAATTTATTTCTCAGAAAGAGTTCCTTTTTTTTTAAGTGGCTTCCCAGTTGGCCACCAGGGGAACTCAACCTCGGTTGCTCAGTCTGGGTCTTGGGAGAATGGAAAGGGACTGAAGCATTCCAGGCCCCGCCCTGCTGAGGAGGAGATCTCTCCCTCTCCAACATAAACACAGAGACTTACACTGACTACAGATCCTGTCATGCTGACACTTAGCACTTAAAGAAATTCTGATAGAGGCCACGGCTAATGGGGAAGCTTCTAAACGTGTCCCAGTTGTCAGTATCCCTCCCCTGGAATGACTGACAATGCTACTATTACAGGACTTCACACAGCATGTAAGTTGGCAAATAGCAAGATACCAATTCTATTCTTGAGACTTTTTTTTCTCCAATCTCTTACAAATAATATGAGGCCTCCAGTTCTTCATGTACCTGAAGGTTTGGCCTATCCTTTGTGCAAAAAGAGGATGGCAGATTAAATTTTTTAAAAAATTATAAAAGGCTAGATTACTATTCTGTGCTAAGTAACACGGTTGTGGTAACCAATTTTCTTTACAAAGCAAAGGATGCTTTGCACACTGCTGGCAAGGAAGCAGATTAGGACTGATTCTACGTAATGTACACATTTCCAAACATGCTTATCCTGTGTCCTCTCCCAACCCCCTTAACTGCCTCTATGGAGTTTTAAAAAAGATGTTGTTTAAGAGAAGACAGGAGCAAGGCTGACTCACCCAGAGCAAGTCAGGAAACCTGCACCAGGGAAAAGCTATGTAGAGAAAAGGATCAGTGTGCCTTATTCACTTCAGAGGCATAATCCAAACTGTGAATTGAATTTGGTTAAGATGTCCTGCTGCCTGGAGAAGTGGACCATTTTTAGTGAGTCATCAGCCATCAATTTAGGTGCCTACAGACACAGTCAGAAATTACTATGGAACAGAGATCTGGATAATTTTGGCTATTCAACATAAAAAAATAAAGTCTAGAATTCTGAATGACAGAGATATAATTAGCCATTTTAAAACAAGTGATATTTTCAGCAGTAAAAGTTACAAAAATTAACTGTTGATTTGCAAACTTCTAAAATGCCTGTTGAATATATGGAGAACAAATAGCAATTAATATCACTGGAGGGTTCATTTGCAAAGCTTTGAAAGAATTGAAAATTTATTCCATAGATATTGTATGTGAAATATGATAAACTACAGAGAGAGCAGAAGAAGGACATCCTAAAATTTAAAAAGAAATAGTCAATAGTAGGTTTATGACATGTCACTAATTAATAACCATTGATTTTTCATTTTATAGTTCCTAAACAGGTGCCATTCACTGGAAGATGCACCATTCCTATGTAAATTCCATATGACAGCCCTTCCACCAAAACAACAACAAAAACCCCAAGTAACTTTAGAGAAGTAGTTCAAAACAGTGATTCCAAATCATAGATATCAAAAGACATATTGATTGCCTTTTTCTTCTTATTATTATTATTCATTCATGAGAGACAGAGAGAGGCAGAGACACAGCCAGAGAGATAAGCAGGTTCTCCACAGGGAGCCCAAAGTGGGACTCAATCCTGGGACTCCAAGATCATGCCCTAGGCCTAAGACAGATGCTCAACCACTGAGCCACCCAAGCGTCCCTTGATTGCCTAACAGTTTTCTGTGCAACATGAAACATATTCCCAATCTACCAGGTTAAATGGAATAGTAAAGCAAATTTTGAGCTAATAATTAATATACCCCGAAAAAAGAAAGAAATAGAACAAAAAAAAAAGCCTAAATAGCTAATAATTAAAATCCAAAATGTGCTATTTGTTCTGATTATCAAGATAAAAAAAAATCTCAGGTCATCATCAATATTTATGCTTAGTCATACTGAGGTTTGCCCCCAGTATTACCAACTCTGTCTGTTAAAAGGTCCACATCTTTCAACTTTTCTTCTATCATCCTTCGCCCAGTTAGTGTTGTAATATTGGGGCTTAAAAATTATTTAAAAAATATTTTTGTTATTCTTTTTTTAGTAAGATATTTTGTCATTCTAACATATTAGCTAAGAGAAGTCAAATGCAAAAGGCTGAGAAACTGGGTAATTTATAAATCTTTACCTGAAGGCCTTCAATAGCCAATCGCAGCATGCTTGGTGTAAGTTTGGAGGCTTGCTTGAAGGTGAAGTTACTCCAGTCTATGATCAAAACAAATCCATTGACTTGAAGCTCAGGATCTTCAATCATGGCTTCTAAAGAAAGTAAGATGGCACGCAAAATATCCACCAGTGTGTACCTATCAGCAACAGAAATATACTGCATTAAATCTAACAACCACTTTCCTCAAAACTATAGAAATTGTTTAGCACACTAAAAATTCCCTTTAAAATACCTCAGGAGTCTGAAGATAATTTTGTTTAGAAATCTCCTAAGAAGAAATTTACTTGCTGCACTTCAGGGACATATTAGAATTTAACGTGTATCCTACCAAAACAAACGAAAATGCTCTTGAAAATATTTTGTTTCATATTTTACAATCATTTCCTTTACCTCCAGGCCTTCCTAGGATTTTCTAAAATCTCACCTTAACTATCCTGAAAATTAAGCATCGTGCTTTCTGAAGCAGCTCAAGAATGGCCTCAGTAATACTGACATTTCACACCTTGACATTTGGAAAATTTGAGAATGAGATTTGAAGGAGTTTCACCAATAGACACGAATACTAGGGTTAAACAGCTATGGTTAAAAGTGTCAGTATATTTTAATTACTCGTATGGAGTTTATAGCATAAAGATGCAATTAAAGATAGAAGGGTATGTGATTGAGTCTGTATCTTTCTCAACCTCGCACCCTAGTGCAGTGCCTGGCATGTTGTAGGAACCCAATAAATGCTCTTTGCATTCCTGTAAAATGGGAGTAGACGAGAGTGCAAAGACACTATTTATAATGTAAGATACTGCCTCAGCGATGGCAGAAGGAAGAACAAAGGAAAAAGCCAAATGTGAGAAGTATTTTAGAGGGAAACTTGTTAAAATTCGATACTTAGACACAGAAACTAAGGTTGAAGGAAGAGTAAAGGACGACACAAAGATTCTCTAGTTTCCGTGCCTAAGTAAATGGTAAAATCTTTCATCAAAATCAATAATGCAAGACAAGGAGACAGTTGGGAGATGGTGGGAAATGTAGAGTTTGGAATAAACCCACTGCATCTAGAAGTATGTAGAACATCCAGAAAGATATATTAAGGAAACATCAGAAAAAGTAGACTGTAAACTGAGGTGAAAGCTGGAGGGAGAAAATTCCAGAGTCAAAAACATACAGAGCCTAAGTTCAAGTAAGTGAAGGAGGTCATGGAGTCATAGCTGAGAAGCAAATCAGAGTGTTATTCAAGAAAGGAATCCCAGCATTTCAAGATGAATAAGCAAATTTATAAAAACGCTAACATTTCAGGGTTTTCCCCTCAGATATTCAGGTATAGACATCTAGGAAACACCAGACAAAGAAATCTTGAAAGAAATCAGGTGGGATGGGGGGGTGGATTAGGAGTAGAAATCCCTAGCAAGGAGTGGAAGTGATGGGCTCACCAGGAAAACAGTATGAGGTAGTGAGTACGTATGAGGGAGGAGTTCCACTTTTTTACTTCTAAAAACATTTGGAGGTGAATGGAGAAAGCACAGTAGTCCAGAAAGGAACTTCAGGCAACTTTTCAGTTGCTCTGGGTCTCATTTCCTCATCTGTAAAATCAGTAGTTTGGAATACAATCCCCTTGGGATCCCAGCATTACTCAGGCATAGGGCATGGTGTCAGAAGACTTCAAGATGGAATCTCTTCCCTGTCCCTCATTAGATGTGTGATCCTGGACATGTCATTGATCTATACTTCTGAGTATATGAAGAAATGGAAGTGCCCTCATATGAAAAAATGGGAGCACCTGTAATTATCTTATTCTATCTCATTGGCAGTAGGGAGGTGAGGTGGGGATGGGGAGGAAAGTCAATGACATGATTCACGTAAAAGCACTTCCACAGTGCTAGGTATACAGCAAGTGTTCAGTGGAAAGTGTTGGTTGGAATATAACAGAACGTACTTTTTTTTTGTAAGGGTAACACATAGACACAGAGTACTAAGAAGGATATAGTCGGAACTGAAGGCTATTTGTACATTATACTTAAAAATTGATGATCGTTAGACAGCTTATTACTCTTATAAAAGGCAAGGACTGAGAGATAATTTTTAAATCTTTGGAAGGTATACAGCATATTTTAAGGATATAGCATCCTTAGGCCTATAAAATATGTCCTGAATACATAAGATAATAAAATTTTGTGTAGAGTTCTATTATCTATTTGTCTTTAAACCTGTAAAATATATATAGCTGGATACCTTTATTTGTCACTCCATGGCTGGCTTATCTCCTTTATAAATATGATGGCCTAACCTAGTGTTATGACAAAAAGCCTATAAATCTGCACAGACTGGAAAAATGGCAGAAGAAGGCTACATTTCTGATTTAAATTGAGCCACCTCTTTAAAAAAATATATTCATTTTAGTTCCTGACATCCACAATAATAGTATGATAATAAAAAAAATTTTAATTAGAAAAGCCCAATTTAGCATTTCTCCCCAGTAAGATCACTCTTACATTACCTATAGGAACACCAAAGAGCATTAACACCAAATAGCATGAAATAAATTTGAATCTGAAATCAGCTTTGGAAGGATGATGTATTATATCCAGTGAGAACCACTAGTAAAGGCAGAAATCAAGATGCAAGGTATCTTAAATAACACACCTCATGCATGGTTTTCCAAAACTGAGGCCAAATCAAGAGAAAAATTTATAGACGTTATCAGCATTCCCAAGGATATAATAAAGCAAATCCCCTGATCAGCAAAGGAGAAAATCAGGTTTGCAAAGTTTTCAAGTGTAAACCTCACCAAGTTTTTAAATGTAATAGCTTTCTTCAAAAAGAGAATCCTCTGATCTTTATATAAATCATTTTGATGTCCAAATTGAAGCAAAGAAACATTAAAACATCTCAGCTGACTGCATTCAAAGGGCAGGTCAAAGCCACTCTTGACATTCTAGTCCCCTGTTGTCAAACATGTCACATCGCTACCATTAGCAGCTCAGCAGGCTACTCATAAGCAGAGCATTAGGACATGAGATCTTGCCAAAGTCTGTAAAATATCTTCCAAAGAAATGGAGGATTTTATGAATTTTATATCTTCAGGAATCCTACTGTCATTCTTCTTCTGTTGGAAATTATCTTTACCTGTTATAATCTACAAACCTGAGGCCACCGCAATGAGTACCTTGGTGTTTGAGGCCTCCTTCCCAACTGTAGGAGCTCCACCATTGCTATTCTTCCCTTGTATGTTGGAAGAAAGCCATAAATAACAAACTAGCACATTAATGCAGCTCTTGACTCTTGACGTTGCTTCCCAAAACATCATCAAGTAAAGCCTGAATCTGAAATCAACTTGGAGAGGATGATGCATAGCCTGGAGTAAGAAGAAATACCAACACCGGTAAGGGATTTTACAACTGGGACACCAGACTACCCAGACCATTGCTCTTGAGAGACAGCGGAGCTGCGAAGCTATGTAAATACCGTCTGGAGGAGGCTGACACCTGTATCTGTGGTTCACTAGCCATCCAGTCAAGAAGAGCAGGGCAGCTTGCTTGCTGCCTCCGGCCCTGCAAGGACAGGGGAAGCTCAGCGGCCTGTGCTCCCCTGGGCCTTACAGAGAGGCGTCCCCTACCATTTACAATCCATGCAAAGAGCAACCTAAATCACAAGCAGGTCATTTCCTTCCCGTTCCCCAGCCTTTTCCTTCAGCCTGACAAGGAAAAACTAGCACCTGGGCAACACACTGAACAGCACCACACCAGGAAATTTCCCTTTGTCACTAAATCAGTCAGCCAAGTTCTTCATTAAGGCCGCCCCACCCCTCAGTTTTCATTAAGCCACGTTTCTCCCATCTGAAGCACTTCCTATTAGAAGGGTGCTGAGGGGAAGACAAAAGGCCCCAAATCACCTCTCTGATGCCTCATGGTATCATCAGCGCTAGGGCTGATGGACCTATCTAGGTATTGTATCTTACTGAGTGCTAGTAATAATAAAAATACCTTCATCTGTGTCATCATTGAAGATTTCCAAGGCGATTTCAAGTGCATGATCTTAAACTCAAAACAAGCCCAAAGTCCCTCTGCTGGCTCTGCTCCTATTATTTCAGAGATAAGGGCACAGGGTCTCCAAGAATGTGAATGGTTTGCCCAGAATCGGCCAGGGAGCCTACAGGAGAAGCCAGGTCTTTGGTTTCTCTTGCACTTCCCAGGGTACCTGGGTTCTCTTGCACTCCCCAGGGTACCTCACGCCTAGAACACCCATGAATCGCTGTCCTGCTGTTTCAGGTCTCCATGGCCCGCATGTCCAAAGGCAGGGGAAGCCCATCCCCAGTGTGGCACCGTGCAAGGTTCCAGGGCATGCTTCAGCCTGGCCCCAGCAGCAGGCTTTGGTGAAGGAGAGCCAAGAAGACATTCACGAGTCTCAATGGGAAGAGGAGAGGTCTACAAAGCCTACAGAGAATATATCTCTGAACCTCTCCTCTGTCTGGCTTCTATCACGGAGCTCAGATGATTAGCTGTCTGAGCCTTGAGTTAGTTTTACTGCTGTGGGGATGTAGGTGAGTGAGAACAAGTGAATCACCCAAACGGAAGCATCTACAGGAATAATGTCTTTAACCGGGGGGGGGGGGGGGGGGTGTAAAACAACATGCACCTACTGCCATCAGAATAAGATAAAATAAAATGAAACAGAACTGTGCTGGAAAAAAAATGCAAAGGTCAAAAAGGCAGCTCTCCTTTTCAGGGTAGAAAGTAAACGTCTGCTAAGTGCAGTCCTTGTCTTTGGAAGATTTACTCTAGCAACTGAACTTTCTAATGATCTATGCTGACATTCATTCAACATTTTCTAAATGATAGATGCAGTTCTTTCCCCTCGGTTTGTTTTTCCCTAGACTCGTGCTGGTAACTGTGTGTACACACACAACACATTTAACCAACTCACTTACTGGTTGTATGGTCATGGGCGAGGGTCTTAACTGGCCAGCGCCTCACCTTCCTCGTCCGCAAGTAAGCCCCACCTTAGAGGAATGCGATAGGATTTAAGAGATTAATTCTGTAAAGGGCTTAGAGGAGGGCCTGGCACACCACGCACGTTATAAAAGTATTTTAAACGAATGAATAAATGAAATAATTAATTAATTAATTAAAATGAAACAATAAATAG